CCGGCGCGCGGCTTCGCTCGAAAAATGGTAATCTGATGGGACTTACCAGAACTTCCGGTGCACTCGGATTCCTTCCTGGTCGTCCCTGGCTTTTTCCCTTGTCCGTCTCTTTCTCTCTCGCTCTCTCTGAGTGCGTGATTATTTAATTGTGGATCAATAACACTAACACACTCAGTACAACTAAAATTAAGTCATGTAGTAATACCTTACTCTAACTAGTAATAAGTTTATAGTATTATTGTTCACCTTAGTCTTATCGTTTTGTTCATTACTGTCACCTACTCAGTAGGGTGTATAGTATATGTGCATACATTTACCGAATGTAGGGTACACTAATTATAGCTGTTTCTTTTGTCTACTAGTGCTATTCACTAATTACATATTTTTGCTTATATATTACTTAACGCGGAGATTTATGTTATAGTCTGTTACTAAAATTGAGTTTGACTCATATTATACCTATTACATTCTCTAAATTGTTACTCTATGATGTTATGGTCTACGGGATTTAAGCCCTGATCAAATAAATTGAATTCTCTCTCTCTCTCTCTCTCTGGGCCGCTCTCTCGTAGCGTTCTCGCAGTCCAAAAAATCAAAATCCGGGGGAAATGCCAAGTCGTCTATTCACGGTATCAGTCCAAAATCACTATCTCACAAAAATCCAAAATTCGCCAACCACTTTTCAAAACTCGCTCTCATCAGATTCACGGTTCAAAACGAAGTGACCCCCTTTTGGCCCCCCGGCCCGAGGATTCCCGAAGAATCCTGAGTTCACCCGAACTCGTGCGCTATCTCTCGCCTCGGTCCGCTTTCCGTTTTTCGGCGCTCACAGCCCGCCAGTCTCTGGGCGGCGCCGATCTTACCCGAGCGCGCCCGATCGTCGGGCTCGGCGCTACCGGTTTTCCTCCCCGGCTTCCTCTCGCCTAGAACCTTCGGCGTCGTCGGTATTCTCTGGTATTCTCTTAGCGGCTTTCGTCGGCGGCACGGCTCTCCGTGCGCCTACGCTTTTATGTAACTGGCCGTCCCACGGACGCCACGTTACAACATATATATATTCCCAAACGAAGTGATGATTTTTCCTGCAACGAGTGACCTTTTTTCGAGAAATTCAACTTCAGACAAAGCCGCGGGGAATAGCCACTACATTGTAGAGACTTGGCCGTTAAATTCGTCTTATCTCGAGCAATCTTTCTACGAACGAACGACCGTTTTTCCAGTTGAATCTAGACGTTCGACTAGTGTGTTTTTCGCGTTTCGTGGAGGAAAGTACTCTTTGTTTTTACCTGGCCAAGTACATGCATGCAATATAATATACCTACGTATATCGAGATAAACAACACAGCATTAGTCCAGTTAAATAGAGTTATAGTCGAGAATTTTAGTATTCATTTTCGATGAACAAAATTTATTTCTTACTACAGAGCGCATGTTATTTAGATTTTTCAGTCGAACCATTTTTTTACGTTATTGTGATTTGCTTTGTGACGTTAATTTTTAACGCCACAAAAGTCCCGATGTAGTACTCGCGTGCTCTTGATCGCGGGACGCAGTACCGTCCCTCGGGAGAGATAATATCCGACTGTACCGGCCAAGAACTCCAGGGTCCCGATTAATAAATATAATAAGATTAGACTAATTGCGTTTGTATACCATCACTTTCATGCGATACGTCGAGCCAACTTAACACCGAGGAAGCAACCATCAGAGAGAAGTCATCCTCTCTAGTATCGCCGGAGGAAAGCAGCCGAAGGTTACGCCAGGGAGCGTGGAAGAACGCCAACGTCAGCAGGCGCCTCCACCCCGTCGCGCCCGGTCCCGAATAAAGTAGGGAGCCAAGGTGCAAAGAACATCGCCATGGACTACATCACGTCTCGCCAGTCCCGATACCGGGGCCCAGCTAAAGGCACCCGTGTCGAAGAGGGATCTCAGGGAGCTACCCTAGGCCGAGGGATCGCGACCTCCGCCACTGCAACGTCCCGTCAACCCAGGACCGGACTGCAGCATCTACCCGTCACTACCTGGACGCCAAGAAGACACGGCAAGAAGCCCCGTCGAGCGTCCGCACGTTCCGAGTCTCGCGAAAAGGCGACGTACGCCCTTGTATCGCGCGTAGACTTTGAAGGAACATGGAATTTGCGTACCATCCTTCCCAGTATCGTAATTGTACGATCCGTTGGAGGCTCTGGTTAAATCTCTACTCTAATATGGAGCATCTCGCGTCGGGTAGTTGACGTTATTATCTTCGATCGTAGTATAGGCCTACTGGGGTCCCGCTACGTTAAATAATGGGAACGTATCGACTACGGCGCCTCTTGGGTGACGTGGAAGCCTGTAGATTATCATTGTTGATGCCTTTATTATAATAAAGTAATAAATAAAATTAGAAAAAAATTGATATTTGGTTCGATTTTTTTTACCTTCAGCGTGCAGCCCGTACAACTTTTGAAGAGGTTGAAGCACTTCACGCCGGTTAAATCAGTGCTAAATTTTAGTAATCGTTTTTGTAAATTTAATGTATTATGTAATATTGGTCAGATAATATTCTTGTAAATTCGTCGCTCTGAATTTTTCTATGGGAATTTTTCTATCTGAATTTTTTCACTGCAATCAATTAATTCATAAAACTTCGTAAAAACGATAAAAAATATTGAGCACTGATTTGACCGGCGTGAAGCGCTTCAACCTCCTTAACACGTTGTGTTTAAAAAAAAAATCATAACGTCCAGAAGAAGAAAAAAAAAGTTCCGCCGGAGAGTCTCGAACCACGGACCTCTGGCTTCCTAACTCAATGCCCCGCCTATGGACCAACATCATGAACTTTGTATACTTACTTCGGAACTGAGAGATAAATCATATCCACGATTTTCCTTTAAACACAATCATCTTACCTAAATTATTAATAAAAAAAAACGAGAAGCTACCCTAAAAAATTAAGGTAAGGTCTAAAACAAATAGCACATAGTTATTTAAGAAAATGATTTCATATTTATCTATGTGCACTTGCATATGTGATCTACAATCTGAAAATATACATTCCCAATAGAAAGCAATAAGAATTATAACACTGAAATACGTTTCTATTATATAATCTTTGATACATGTGATAAATCCTACAATTTTTCCATCATTAATTCTATTTAGAATGTTATTAATGTGACTTGGAATAAATGGTGTTCGTTTCTCGCACACAATTTGCGCGTGCGCGCTACAGTCTCTTTTAGTACAAATCCCCACTCATAGGCAGCGCCACAAGATAGCTTGGGATTGTGGAGATCAACCCAGAAGGATGTAACATTGGAAACTAGCCTTTAGAAACGCGCAGCGACAAGAATCTGTAGCGCCACGGATAGGCGTAGCGTTAGTACACACACAGTCACACTTTTTCGTACTCCTAGCTACTTACCTCGCGGCATGGTTTTGTGTTCATCCTCGTGATACTGGAAAATAAAGAAACTACTTGTTAAAACATTACCTGTGTCGTTTCGGTCGTCTTTTGACGTGTACATAAATAAAATATATTGTGGTGAAACTGCTTGTGCCCCCACAGGATTTTCGGGGCGCCATCTACCCGCCGGGATTTGAACTAAAGTTTTACTATAGTATATGCTTGACATACCCCCACCACGTCCTCCGCACCTCTATACCTATCTACACTCAACGGTATTACTATATATACACGACCAATCAAAAACGTTGAACTGCTTCGAGGGCCCTCCGCTAAGGTGGCGCGCCGAAACCAAAGAAAAATTGCCATCACCAAAAACAGGCTCATTGGCAATCTCCCTACTCATCTCTGTAGTAAGTCTTGTTTTATATCTTCTATACGTTAAATATTCCTAATTTAAGTATTTCTCAAAATTTCAGGAAGCAAACATATTTTGCTTGGAGTTGCTTTTAAGTTTGTGTAAAAGGTTATTTGTTGTAACCTATAAAACTCATAAAATTTTATTATTGCATATTATGTTCTCAACTTTTAATAAGTTGTATTATACAATTAGTAATTGAAGCATTTAATTTACCCATATTGAGTTATATGTACTGTTATTTTTGTTAATTTGTTCTGTGGGTTAGAGATATACATTTCTTTTAGAGTCTAATAGTCAGTTTCTTCACTTTTGATTAAAATTTAACCTGCTGATAAATCTCCATCTAATTAATTATTTTCATGTGTTAGAAGTTTATCTGCAGGTTAAATTTTATCGGAAGGTGAAGAAATTGACCATAAAGTTTCATCATAATAAATAATATTTATAACTGTATTTGTGAAAAATTTGTTAATGTATCAATGATATTCAGATGCAATCAAATTCGTATCAATCACAATTTAGTAGTATTATTACAATTTTAAAACTAACTTTATATTTTTATACGTTAATAAAATATGTTATAAGTTTTTTATTTATTATATTTTGTAAATTTATTATTATTATAGGTATAATTATTTATATAATAGATTTATATTTTATGTTTAAATGCAAATAAGAATCATATGTATATATTTACTGAAAAGTTTAACATAATTTTTATTTCCTAATTCAGAAAAAAGTTAATCCTGCTCTTCTATTAATCCATTTGCATTACTAGTGTATATCTGCATGTAATTTGCCTGGCCACTATCACCAGAGTATATATAAGGCGTGCTTAGTCGTCATTCATATATAAACAAACAAATTTTTATGATAATGTATTTTTCACTTTTTCGTGTGATGTAAATAGATTAATATACATGACAAGATAAGCATAAAAATAATATAGGTTAAGTCAATGAGGTAGAGTATTAACTTCTTTCTGAAAATAGTGATTTATTAGTATGATCATCATTTTATTATGGATTTTCGGGGCGCCATCTACCCGCCGGGATTTGAACTAAAGTTTTACTATAGTATATGCTTGACATACCCCCACCACGTCCTCCGCACCTCTATACCTATCTACACTCAACGGTATTACTATATATACACGACCAATCAAAAACGTTGAACTGCTTCGAGGGCCCTCCGCTAAGGTGGCGCGCCGAAACCAGAGAAAAATTGCCTTCACCAAAAACTAAAGTTTTACTATAGTATATGCTTGACATACCCCCACCACGTCCTCCGCACCTCTATACCTATCTACACTCAACGGTATTACTATATATACACGACCAATCAAAAACGTTGAACTGCTTCGAGGGCCCTCCGCTAAGGTGGCGCGCCGAAACCAAAGAAAAATTGCCATCACCAAAAACAGGCTCATTGGCAATCTCCCTACTCATCTCTGTAGTAAGTCTTGTTTTATATCTTCTATACGTTAAATATTCCTAATTTAAGTATTTCTCAAAATTTCAGGAAGCAAACATATTTTGCTTGGAGTTGCTTTTAAGTTTGTGTAAAAGGTTATTTGTTGTAACCTATAAAACTCATAAAATTTTATTATTGCATATTATGTTCTCAACTTTTAATAAGTTGTATTATACAATTAGTAATTGAAGCATTTAATTTACCCATATTGAGTTATATGTACTGTTATTTTTGTTAATTTGTTCTGTGGGTTAGAGATATACATTTCTTTTAGAGTCTAATAGTCAGTTTCTTCACTTTTGATTAAAATTTAACCTGCTGATAAATCTCCATCTAATTAATTATTTTCATGTGTTAGAAGTTTATCTGCAGGTTAAATTTTATCGGAAGGTGAAGAAATTGACCATAAAGTTTCATCATAATAAATAATATTTATAACTGTATTTGTGAAAAATTTGTTAATGTATCAATGATATTCAGATGCAATCAAATTCGTATCAATCACAATTTAGTAGTATTATTACAATTTTAAAACTAACTTTATATTTTTATACGTTAATAAAATATGTTATAAGTTTTTTATTTATTATATTTTGTAAATTTATTATTATTATAGGTATAATTATTTATATAATAGATTTATATTTTATGTTTAAATGCAAATAAGAATCATATGTATATATTTACTGAAAAGTTTAACATAATTTTTATTTCCTAATTCAGAAAAAAGTTAATCCTGCTCTTCTATTAATCCATTTGCATTACTAGTGTATATCTGCATGTAATTTGCCTGGCCACTATCACCAGAGTATATATAAGGCGTGCTTAGTCGTCATTCATATATAAACAAACAAATTTTTATGATAATGTATTTTTCACTTTTTCGTGTGATGTAAATAGATTAATATACATGACAAGATAAGCATAAAAATAATATAGGTTAAGTCAATGAGGTAGAGTATTAACTTCTTTCTGAAAATAGTGATTTATTAGTATGATCATCATTTTATTATTTTATTAAATGGAGGTATTGTTGTATTTCATAGAGGTTTTGGTTCAGCGCAATGGGTGCCACATCAAGTCAGTATGAAGATCTTTCCAAGAATCCATATCTTCTTAAATTCTCTGGAAAGAAACCAATTTCTCCAGATGATCCATTTTGGAATCAGTTCCTTTCATATAACCTTCGACCACCTGCTACACGGAATGATCAAATTAAACTGGATTCTCAACTTAACTCGATATATCAGCAGTTTCTTATCAACAATATGACTACTGGAAATTTTGGTTCTCTACTTCAAGTTTCATTGATCAGGACCAATGAGCTCCTCGCTACAATGCAGAGTCAAGAGTATGTTTCTTTTTAAGGAAATTATTTTAGTTCTGTAATTTATTCTAATGAAATATAATATGTAATATTATATTATATATTATGACTATACTTTTGCAGTTTACTTTAGTTTACTATTTCGATTATATTATGTATATTGGAAATCAAAAACATATTAATGTATTGAAGTTCTGTTGCTATAAATCTTGAGACGTTGCACATTTAACTACTATAAGTTGAACTTAATTACAAGCAATTCTATTCCCCTATGACAAGAACTAATTTTTTTAAATTTATGCCATTATGAATAATATTAAAATATTGGAAATATAATTTTATGGGGTGAAGTTAAATTGATATTAGTGTCTACAATTATATTTATATTAAAAGTAGAATTATAGGCAAAATAAGAAATTTCCTAAGATAAGTAATCTGTGTTAATGTTTCTCGTATTCTGTTGTCCATACAAGAATGAAAACTAAATATGGTTTAGTTCTTGATTTCAGAAAATATAATAGTTTGAAGTGGATTTTAACCTCTTGACTGTTTCGCGTAACATATGCTTTTAACCCAGATATGCTCTCAATAGTTCTATTCAAATTCCCATTGGATGATATTTTTAAGTAACCAATGAGAATCTGCACGTTTTGAAAGGTGCTGAAAGTGTAGGCAACGAGACCGGATCTAATGTAGAAATTGATAAAAATCTAGAAAGATTACTTGTTTTTTTTTTTTTAAATCACTGAATTCGAGTCTGTCAAACTTAAAAAATTTGAAATGACTACTAAATCCGGAAAAAAGTTTGATTCGCGTAAAAAAGTATATATGGATTTTACTAATCAAACTGTACATATACTTTATATATTTTTTTCTATTCTAGCTTTGTTGTAAGACCCAACTGTTCTCTTTGTATCAATACGATGTTGAGTCTGCCATATCCCCCAAAAAACACTTATGTGTAAAAAACTATGCCAAGTACAGGAGTGCTGTGTATTCCTCTAATAAAAAGTTTTGATATCAGATTATGGAGGCCAAGTACATAAGTCATTACATGTTTGCCTATTATATGATCTAGCACTGGCCCATCGTTTTAATTGTATTTTCAAAATTTCTTATAACGTTTTCACTACTCTTTTACATTACTACTGCTTCTCGTAGTTGATTATGATTTAATGGTCATTTAATAATTAATACAACTTTAGGTGATTCCTTATCGAGTACTACTTGGCGGGTTCGTGCATTTCTTGACATAAATTTGCGTTCATTACACCAGTCATTAAACTCAAAACCAATGTCAACTTTCTATATACAGCTCATTCACAATAACTTGTCAAAAATAATCACGGTAAAAGCTTAATAACAAACATATAGTTTTAGGATACTATTAGTACGTTCAAAGTAAGTACTTTGGAATTCCTGGCACGGAACCGCCAAGTAGTACTCGATAAGGCATCACTTAAAGTTTTATTAATTATTAAATGGCCATTAAATCATAATCAACTACGGAAAGCAGTAGTAATGTAAAAGAGTAGTGGAAACGTTATAAGAAATTTTGGAAAAACAATACAACGATGGGCCAGTGCTAGATCATATAATAGGCAAACATGTAGTGACTTATGTACTTGGCCTCCATAATCTGATATCAAAACTTTTCATCACTTAAAGTTTTATTAATTATTAAATGGCCATTAAATCATAATCAACTACGGAAAGCAGTAGTAATGTAAAAGAGTAGTGGAAACGTTATAAGAAATTTTGGAAAAACAATACAACGATGGGCCAGTGCTAGATCATATAATAGGCAAACATGTAATGACTTATGTACTTGGCCTCCATAATCTGATATCAAAACTTTTTATTAGAGGAATACACAGCACTCCTGTACTTGGCATAGTTTTTTACACATAAGTGTTTTTTGGGGGATATGGCAGACTCAACATCGTATTGATACAAAGAGAACAGTTGGGTCTTACAACAAAGCTAGAATAGAAAAAAATATATAAAGTATATGTACAGTTTGATTAGTAAAATCCATATATACTTTTTTACGCGAATCAAACTTTTTTCCGGATTTAGTAGTCATTTCAAATTTTTTAAGTTTGACAGACTCGAATTCAGTGCAGTTATATACAAATTTTTAAAGAAAATGTAATCTTCAGTGCATATAAGCGTCGTTAATGGTGTCCAGCTTGTTGAAGCCGTGTGGTAAACGTACGAGAGGAAAGTCTGCTAGATTATTTACGTACCTCAGGCCGTGCAAACAACAGAGAGGATACTATTGTTTGAGCAAAGCACCAAAGCGTCGCACGTTGCACACTTCTCTGAACACTCTAGACTTCTACGTCCGACACCTAGATACAAGAAACTACAGAGCGCAACACTTGGACATCCTGGACTTCCACATCTAACACCTAGATACAAGAAACTACG